TGACACCGCGCGACTCCGCGATCCTACCTGCTCTGGCCCCGTTTGGAAGGCTGGGGCTGACGTCGAGGGGTGCCCACAGGCGACTCCTGCCCCGTGGAAGCCAGAAGGCCAACAGCGTGATCCAGAGGCGTGCGGTAGACTTAGAGGAAAACCACTGCACAAACATGAACTTTGAGATGTGCGCGGAGCGAACCAGGGGCGGCGCCAGAGGAGCCGGCAGGGGGTCAAGCGCACATCCAAGAAATCCGCGCGGACCGTCGAAAGTTCATGTTTATGAAACGCATTCTTCTTCGATGCGTGGAAGGCCAGGCCCAGCCCTGCCGCCCGCAAGCCAGGGAAGAGCGGCCTGCGCGTCCTGCGTGCGACACCGGTCGTGCAGGGGTGTGGCCGTGGTGAGGTGCAATGCCAGGGCGAGCTAACGGCAGAAAGACAAGGTCGCGACAACTGTCCTCCGACGAGCCGAGCACACCCGAGTGACTGCAGCAGATGGCCGCGGCAAAGGCAAATACATGACGATCTTGGGAACATCCGATCAGCCGACCCGCGAGGGAGGAACGCCTGCAGGGAGGTGCGCTGCACTCACTGGACGATCTGAGAATACATGGCTGAGTGACATCACTCAATCTCGTCGCTGGACTTCGAAACTCGTCTGGACATCGTGCTAGAAGTATGCACGAGACCGGATTGGACTATTCGTAGCAGGCTGGAATGTGCGTGAGAGCTCTGAAAAACCCTCGCAAGATGCAACGTGTTCAGAACAGAGGACTGCTGACTCCGCCTTATCAAGATCCCGTCTGGTTTCCGAGCGGGGTCGACGAGATGGCATGGGCCCGAAGGAACAGGAGGAGGCAGGAGGACCCCGTTGGGATCGCGAGCGATGTCGTCGGGATTGCGCGGAAGCGGGGAAGGGGATGGCGCAGGCTCCCAGCAGGATCCGCCGCGGGTGGCGTGCCTGGCGGAGAAGCGGTGCTGCTGCTCACGTGCGGCGCCTGCTGCCAGGAAGAGGAGGAGGCCACGTCTGGGGGGGCTGCGAGCAGAGACACCCCCAGAGGTAGTCCCAGCGGGCCTCGACAGGCCCCCAGGGTAGCCCGAGGCGGTCTCGGCACCCATGGCGCGGCGCGCTCCAAGGGGCGCCTGGGTCCAGAGTCCACCCCGGGCACCCCTTGGGCCAGAGAGGGAGGGGGGCTGCGGCCAGCCCCGACTACCGCCTGCGACCGTCTGTGTGCAGCTCCAGCCTGGACAGATACTATCGGACCTCGCGGCAAGACCGAGCTGCCGTGCAGCACGCCCTCGGGGCCGCGCGGGTGCACCCGAGACGCCCCCAGAAGAAGGGTGCGAGGGATTTCCTCGGGATCGGGACCGGGGCTGGAGGGCGGCCTAATGATGCCTGGCACGAGCTGTGCGGCCCAGCAGGAGGATAAATGACACATCACACGCACAGTAAAACACGTACCCCTGCCCATCGAATGTCAAAGTAGCGAGCGCTGGTAAGAGCCCCTTCTGTAAAGGGAGCCTCGATATTTCTGGCATCTCTGCAGGAGGAAGGCAGCTGCGCCAACCCGTCGGTGCTCCTGCCAACACGTGGGCGCCACTTTCTCTTCGGCGCCCTTTCCCAGGGTCGCCTAGCTTCGCGCTTCGTTCCGTGCCCCATGCGAAGCACAACACGTGTCGCACCCACGTAGGGCCCCCGTGTAGAAGAGTCCGTGCACGGCCCAGACCGGGAGGCGCGAGACGCGAACATCGTCGCGCCCCTGCGGTTGACCTGGGGCGCGCGCGCCTCCCCCGTCTAGTGCCCTTTCCCGAGCAGGGGACGCGCGATGGCGGCGGCGGCTCGCAGTGGGCGGCACCCTCTGCCAGCCCGGCTACACCCACGCTGAGGCGCGCGGACAGAGCGAGAGGGCGCGCAGGTGGACCAGGGAGAGCACGAGGCTCGGTGCAGTGCGGGCAGTGTGCGGTATCCCGCTGCCTGCCGCGGTCTGATGGGGCCTCCCTGGAGGGCCGGGTGGCACTGGCCAGGCGGGTGGAGTGGGGAGGGCACGAAACCTGAGATGATGATGATGATGATGATGATGATGATGATGATGACGATGATGATGATGATGATGATAATGCTGATGATGATGATGATGACGACGACGATGATGATGATGATGATGGTGATGATGATGCTGATGATGATGATGCTGATGGTGATGATGATGATGATGCTGATGATGACGATGATGATGATGATGATGATGATGATGATGGTGATGCTGCTGATGATGATGATGATGATGATGATGATGCTGATGCTGATGTTGTTGACGATGATGATGATCTTAAACATGATGATACTGCTGAGTATGATGATGTTGATAATGCTGATGCCGATGGTGAAGATGATGTAAGTAGTGCTGAACTGCACGGAATCTCGACGCCTGCCGCGATCTGGCTGGCTTCCCTGGAGTCCCTGGAGGGCCAGGTGGAAATGGCGGGGCTGGCGAAGCGGGACGGGCACGCAACCTGAATCCACTACCGTACCTCGTGGCACGAAGTGGAGTGTCCTCAGGTCCCCTCGAGTGCTTCGTGGACTTCTGTTGTAGATGTACCCATCGGTCGGCAGAAGTGGGAGGCATGAAGTAGGAAGGCGTCGGAGGTAGATTGGGTGTCCGCCCTCCCCCTAAAGAGGACGGAAAAGGGGAAGCCACTCGATCCTGGAAGTATGAAGGCGCCTAAAGCAGATTGGAATATGGGACTCCAAAGATACCTACTTTCAACGACCGATGGGTTTAAATGACACGCAACCCGGAATTCAAGGCGCTCCTGAGATCGCCCAGGTGACTTTCCCAGAGTCCCCCAACAGAACACTTGTTCGCTCGAGACGTCCTCGGAACATCGCGCCCCTGGGGTGGCACAGGAGTTTGGCTTTCTCCAGCCCGATCCTGCAGGAGTTGCTCCAATGTCGCGCCCCCGAGGCGACGATCCCTGGCAAGTTGCGCCCCCCTCGCGCCCCCCCCCGAAGGGCCACGCTCCCATGGGAATGACGCAGCGCTCGCGCCCCCCGAGGGTCACGACCCCCCACAAATCCACAGCGCTCGCGCCCCCAGGGGCGCCGATCTCTCGCAGCCTGCGCCACACTCGCGCCCCCCGAGGCCGCGGTCCCTCGTACATGACTTCGCCGCACTCGCGCCCCCCGAGGCCAGGATCCCTTGCAAGGTACGCCGCGCTCGCGCCCCCGAGGCCACGCTCCCCCGCAAGTTACGCAAATGTGTCCTCAGAAGCCCCCGAGAGCCCTCCAAGAGAACCCAAGAGCCCTCAGAAGCCCCCAAGAGCTCTCCAGGGGCACCCCGAGAGGCATCCCGAGAAACCCTCCTATGCCACTGCGAGGCCTTTGACCCACATGGCACCAATCGGGTATCACTTGCATCACAGGAGGAGGAGGAGAATGAGGAGGAGGAGGAGGAGGAGGAGGAGGAGGAGGAGAAGTGTCAAGAGTGGAAGGAGGAGGAGGAGGAGGAGGAGCAGAGTGGAGGAGGAGTGGAAGGAGGAGAAGGAGGAGGAGGAGGACGGGAGGAAGGAGGGAGGAGGAGGAAGAGGAGAAGGGGAAGGAGGAGGAGGGGAGGAGGAAGGAGGAGGGAGGAGGAGGAGGGAGAGGAGGAGGAAGGAGGAGGAGGAGGAGGGAAGGGAGGAGGAGGAGGAGGAGGCGGAGGGAGGAGGAGGAGGAGGAGGAGGAGGAGGAGGAGGAGGGGGGCCCCCCAGGACGCCGCGCCTCCGTGCGGGCCCGCAATCGCCCCCGCCACGGAGACGAAGGGCGCCGCGGCCGCGGAGAAGGCGAAGGAGGACCGCCGGTCCCCTTAGGCACGGCGCGAGGGCGCAACATGCGGCGCGCCCGCAGGCGCGCCCGCCACAGCACCCTCCTCCTCCTCTTCATGCTCCTCCTCCTCCTCCTCCTCTTCCTCCTCCTCCTCTTCCTCTTCCTCCTCCTCCTCCTCCTCCTCCTCCTTCCTCTCCTCCTCCTGATCCCCTCCTTTCCTCCTATTCCTCCTCCTCCTCCTCCATTTCCTCGTCCGCGTCGTCGTCATCGTCGTTGCCTTCGCCATAATCCTCATCGTAATCATCATCATCATCATCATCATCATCATCATCATCATCATCATCATCATCAGCATCATCATCATCATCATCATCATCATCATCACCATCACCATCAACATCACCATCACCATCATCATCGTCATCAGCATCATCACCTTTATCATCATTCTCACCATCAAAATCATCCTCATCACCAGCATAATAATCATTATCATCATCATAAGCAGCATCACCATCAACGACATCAGCATCATCAGCATCATCATCACCAGCAGCACCATCATGAACATCATCCTCATCGTAATCATCATCATCAGCAGCAGCATCATCACCATCATCATTATAATCACCGACACCATCATCACCACCATCATCACCATCATCGCCATCGTCGTCAGCATCATCATCAGCAGCAGCATCACCATCATTATCATCATCATCATCATCATCATCATCACCATCATCATCATCATCATCATGATCATCACTATCATCAGTATCGTCATCTTCATCATAGCTATCAGCAGCATCAGCATCATCATCAGCATCATCATCATCAGCAGCACCACCATTATCGTCGTCGTCGTCATCATCATCATCATCATCATCAACATCATCATCGTGCTCGTCATCACCATCATCATCATCAGCATTATAGTCAACAATATCATCAGCATCATCATCATCGCCATCATCCTCATCGTCATCACCATCCTCATCCTCGTCCTCATCCTCATCCTCATCATCACCATCATCAGCAGTAACAGCATCATCATCATCAGCATCATCAGTACCACTACCAGCATCATCATCATCATCATCATCATCATCATCATCATCATCGTCAGCATCATCAGTATTATTCTCATCATCACTACCATCACCATCATCGTCATCATCATCAGCATAATCAGCATCATCGTAACAATCAACATCATCATCATCATCAACATCATCATTATTATTATTATCATCATCATCATTAATAGTATCATCATAATCAACATCACCCTATCCTCCGTTTCTTCATCTTGGCCATCATCACAACCACCATGATACTAATCATCCGGATCACCACCATCATCAACAGCATCGCCGTCGTCATCGTCAATGGTATCGCCATCGTCATCGTCATCGTAATCATCATAAGCATCATCAATATCAGCATCGTCATCGTTGTCGTCCTCAGCATCATCATCAGCAGCATCAGCATCATCGTCGTCGTCGTGACCGTCGTTCTCTTCAAAAGCATCCTGATCATCATTATCACCCTCATCGTCAACAACACCATTATCAGCATGAGGCTCTTCGTCATCACCATCGTCCACAGCCTCACCATCACCATCATCATCATAATCATCATCACCATCATCATCATCATCATCACCATCAGCATCGTCGTCATCCGCATCATCCTCATCATAATCAGCAGCAGTGTGGTCATCCCTCTTCTGATTATCAGCATCATTGACATCATCATCATCATCAGCAGCATCACCATCAGTAGCATCATCATAATTTCCAGCGTCGCAGTCGTCATTATACTCATCCTCATCATCAGCATCATCGTCGTGTTCATCAGTACCATAATCCTCATCAGCATCAGCTCTATCATCATCAGCATCGTCATCGTGACCCAAATCAGTGTCAGCATCATTATGACCACCCCTCATCCTCCTCATCATCATCAGCATCATCATCACCACCTCCATCATTGCCATAATCGTAACCCTCATAATCCAAATCATCATAATCCACATCAGAGGCAGCATCATCACCTCGTCATCAACAGCATCATCATCATCTTCAGCGTCGTTGTCGTAACCATCCTTGTCCCTATGAGCAGCCTCCTCATCATTATCACCAGTATCTCCATCATCCTCACCACCATCAACACAATTTGCAGCATCAGTAACATCGTCATCACCATCATCATCAGCATCATCATTATCATCGGCATCGTCGTCGTCATCGGTATCGTCACCAGCGTCATCATCAGCACCATAACCATGACCATCACAATCACCATAACCATAACCATAGTTTACCATCATCGTCAGCATCATGATCAGCAGCATCAGCTTCATCCTCGTCATCATCATCATTATCATCATCATCAGCAGCATCAGCAGCATCAACATCATCAGCAGCAGCATCATCATCGTCATGGCCGTCATCATCAGCATTATCAGCAGCATCAGCATCATCATCATCATCATCATCATCACCATCACCATTACCATCATCATCATCGTCAGCAGCAGCATCATCACCATCATCATCAGCATCATCCTCATCATCATCATCATCATCATCATCATCATCATCATCGTCATCGTCATCGTCATCGTCATCGTCATCGTCACCGTCACCGTCATCGCCATCGTCCTCAGCAGCAGCACCAATAGTATCGTCAGCGTCACCCCGCCCCTCCCTGCTGCGCCGCCCCAGCTGCGACCGAGGCCGAGCAAGGCCCGAGAGGCAGAGCAGGGCCCGGCGGGCTCCGAGCGACCCGCAGGCCGCGCTGGGGCCGCGGCCCGCGCCGCGGTGCCCCGCGCCTGGCTGGGAGCCCACCGCCGCCTGCGCGGGGAGGACGCCGAGGGGGGACGAGAAGGACGACGAAGAGGACGAGGACGAGGAGGAGGAGGAGGAGGAGGAGGAGGAGGACGAGGACCAGGAGGAGGAGGAGGAGGAGGAGGAGGAGGAGGACGAGGAGGAGGACGAGGAGGAGGACGAGGACCAGGAGGAGGAGGAGGAGGAGGAGGAGACCGAGGAGAACGAGGGCGAGGACGAGGAGAAGGGCGAGGAGGGGGCGGGACCCCCCCTCCCTCCCTCCCCAGGCCGCCGCGGCCACGGCCCCGACGGCCTCCGCGCCCCCGGCGGGCCTCGATCGGGGAGATCAGCTGGAAGGATCGCCCGTAGCTCCGCAGGGCCTCCCAGGCCCCGCCGCCCGCTGCCGTCTCCGCCGCCATGTTCGTCGTCGTCCTGCCCCTCCTCGCGACTCTCCTCCTGATGTTTCTCCTCCTCCTCCTCGTCCTCCTCCCCCTCCCCTTCTTCTTCTTATAAATATTATCAGTCTTCGTCTTCTTCTACGTAGTCCTATTATTATTGGTCTTATTATTATTATGTTTCGTCTTATTCGTGTGGTGTTGATTCTTAATAGATGGATTAGTATTGTTATTCGTATTACTATTATTATTATTATTCATATTCTTCGCATTCGTGTTATTAATAGTATTCGGCTTCTTATTATTATTATCATTAGCATTCTTCTTATGATTATTATGATTCGTATTCGTCTTATCATTAGCCTTCTTATTAGTATTCGTATTATGATTATTCGTTTTCTTCTTCGTGTTCGTAGTAGTATTGTTCTTATTATTCTAATTCGTCTTCTTCTGAGTATTATTCCTCCTCCTCCTCCTCCTCCTCCTCCTCATCATCATCATCCTCATCCTCCTCCTCATCCTCTCTCTCTCTCTCTCTCTTCTCCTCATCCTCCCTCTGCTCCTGCTTCTCGCCCTCCTGCTGCTGCTGATCCTCTTGCTGCTCCTCCTGATCATCCTGCCCATCCTCCTCCCCGTCCTCCCGCTCCGCTTTCAACCCGGCACCGCCCGTGCTCATCTGGAGCCCCTCCCCCCCCGTCTTCCTGCCACTCCTCCAATCTGCACATCCTGTTCCGCACTCCTGCCCCCTCCTCACACATGTTCTTCCCTATCCACCACCTCCCCTGGGTGCTGTACCTATCCCCGCTCTGGCCCACCCTCCACGTTCCCTCCTGCCTCGCCCACGCGCTAGGGTGACCCCAGGCAAGAGGATCTTTTGTTGCGCGGCCTACCAACCGTTGCTTGCAATGCGACTGGTGCGGCCTGCGCGCTTGGGAATCCCCCCCCCGCCCTTACGTTCCATCTTCGGAAGGCCGTGTCTGTCCCACCGCGCCACTGTCCGTGTCGAATCCGTGTCAAACGTCGTATCCTCGTCGAATCCACGTTGAATCCATGCCGAGTCCGCGTCGACACCGCATCGAATCCGAGGTTGGTATAGGAAGAACAAGCAGCAACTTTCAGGACAGACGAGGCCGCCCGAAGAGGCATTCGCAACCGCCCCCGGCGCCGCCCGAAAGCTGCGAGCTCCCTCGCGCGAAGGGCCACGGCGAAGGCACCCGTACAATCTGGCGCAAGGGCCACCGCTCGAGTCTTCGGCGGCCGATCAGGACGTGCTGTGTTGCAGCAAGCCTCTGGCGAGGAGGCTGAGCCCAAAGAGGCTAAGCCCGCTCGAATCGAGCCTTCGGCGGTGCAGTGGGCATCATCATCACCAGCATCACCATCACATCACCATCACCATCACCATCACCATCATCATCATCATCATCATCATCATCATCATCATCATCATCATCATCAGCATCATCATCATCATCATCATCAGCATCAGCATCATTATCATCATCATCATCATCATCATCATCATCATCACCATCACCATCATCAGCATCACCATCACCATCACCATCACCATCACCATCATCATCATCAGCATCATCATCATCATCATCATCATCACCATCACCATCATCACCATCATCATCATCATCATCAGCATCAGCATCAGCATCACCATCATCATCATCAGCATCATCATCATCACCATCATCATCACTATCACCATCATCATCATCATCATCATCATCATCATCATCAGCAGCATCATAATCAGCATCACCATCACCATCATCGTCATCATCAGCATCATCATCAGCATCACTATCACCATCATCATCATTATCAGCATCATAATCACCATCATCATCATCATCATCAGCAGCATCATCATCACAATCATCATCATCAGCAGCATCATCATCATCAGCATCATCATCATCATCATCCTCTTCATCATCATCATCATCATCATCATGATGATCATCATCATCATCAGCAGCATCATCATCATCACTATCATCATTATCATCATCATCAGCATCATCATCATCATCATGATCAGCATCATCAGCATCATCATCATCACCATCAGCATCACCATCATCATCATCATCATCATCATCCTCTTCATCATCATTACCACCACCACCATCCTCCCCACCATCACCGTATCATTACCAACATTATCATCACCAACATCAGCATCATCATCATCAACAGCATGAGCATCGTCATCACCGTCATCACCGCCATCATCCTCATTATCCTCACCATATCCCTGCTCTCATCCTCATCCTCTCCCTCACCGTCATCGTCATCATCATCATCAGCATCATCATCAGCATTATCACCATCACCATCACCGTGCACTCTCTGGCGATTGGGCCTTCGGTGGAACTCCCTATTGTGCCACGAAACGAGTGAGGGGTGTGCCAAAATGGGCGCGGTAGGCACATGCCAGCGCTGGCATCTGGGCTGGGCCATGAGCCGTGTGAGGGGTCTGCCAGAAGGGGTGCGGTGGGCGCATGCGAGCGCTGGCATTTGGGCCCTCGGTGGAGCTCCCTATGGGGCCACGAAACGTGAGAGGTGTGCCAAAATGAGTGCGGCAGGCGCATGCGAGCGCTGGCATTTGGGCCTTCGGTGGAGCTTCCTGTGGGGCCACGAAACGTGTGAGGCGTATGCCGCAATGGGCGCGGTGGGCGCATGCGAGCGCTGGCATTTGGGCCTTCGGTGGGCGTGTCTACGGGGCCGCGAAACGTGTGAGGGGTGTACCGAAATTGCACGGATAGGAGGAAGGAGGAGGAGGTGGGATCCGGGGCGCTCTCTCTCTCTCTCTCTCTCTCTCCAAAACGTGGACCCAACACAACAGGATGGTTGGGGAAAAAGACGATAGAGGAGGCACGAGGGAGGGAACAGGAGGAAAGCGAACTAGGACTGGATGGCTGTGATATGCAGCTGCGCCGGCGCCTGCGTCAGGGCAAGAGCTCGAAACCAAGCGAACGCGACTGTGAAACGAATACGGCGCCCGGATCTCACGGGTAGGGAGGGACGGCCTGCAAGCCTAGCCAGGGGGGCTGGAGGGGGACGGGGGCGGTCCCATATCGGCTGGGCCATCATGAAATCGACGAGACCCAGTGTGGAATGTTACGCGAGCTCCCGCTGCAAACGCCCCGCGCATAAACTGGGCCGTCAAAGTCCGGGACGCGCTCGTCCAAAAACGTCGGCGGCTAACCCGAGGTCCAGCGCACTCGAGTTCTAATCTACGTTTCCCCGGCCAAAGCTGGGGAAACCAAAAGGTACTGGTACCGCTACTCCCCAGACCTCCCCCGGTGTGCGTGCTGACCCGGATTTCGAGGCGGATCCAGCGGTGGCGACGAGGGCCTCCCAGGAGGCCCAAAAAGGGGAATACGGGCGTAGGGGGTAGAGGTATGAGTACTCCGAGTTTCTTCATAAGCGTCATGGGGGCGTCACCGCCGCCGACAGGCCCGCATCGAACCCCGTCGCGGGTAGCCACCGCGCGCCGAAGGCGCTCCGCCCCCCGTTGCGGCGCGGCGACGAGGCGAGGTTGAACCCCGTCGGGGGGTATCCCCCCCACGCTTCTCAGGAAGCCCGGAGTACCTTCTCCTCCTCCGAGAGCCCCACGCTTCCCCGGCCAGGGCAGCCCCGCGAGGCAGGCGCGCGCGGGGGGCGAGCCCCGCCCCAGGCCCCTCGGGAGGGCGCGGCGAGGCGCGGGGAGCGGCGGCGGGAGCGCCCCCTCGGGGCCCACCCGCCGCGGAGCCCGCCGACGTCGGGTCCGACCGACGGCGCGGCCGCCGCGCGAGCCGCCGCTGCCGTCGGCGGGCGGCTCGCGCCGGGGAGGGCGAGGGAGTGCCCGCCCGCGGGGCGAGGGGGCAGCGGAGCCCAGGCCGAGAGGGAGAGAGGGAGGCCACGCCCGGACTCGGCTCCCTCGTGGCCTCTTCTCGGCCTCTTGCCCGGGGTTTTTTTTATCAGGCCGCTGGCCTCGCCAGGTCGACCCCCAAAAATTCCCCCTTTTGTCCTGCCGGCGTGGCTGGATCCACGAGGCCTGCGGAGGTTTTACGGTGCTGCGGACGGGCGGCGAGCCCACACCGCACGCTGAACCCAAGGACCCGACTCCGTGCTGAAAATTAGCGCGCGTGGGTCGTGCGTGCAGTCATCGGCCACGTGCAACAGATGTCCGAACGGGACGGTATGGGAACCCCCGTTCAGACTCAGGGCGTGAAGCAAGGGTCGCTTACCCAAGCCTCCAGGCGCTCCAAAGAGGCCGAACCCAAACAGCGCTTGCATGTACGGCCACTGCCGTCCAAAACGTGACAGGTCGTGAGAACAGAAACCGCACTCTTCGCAAGTGGAACTGACTGAGGGAGGGAGGAAGGGAGGGGAGGGGAGGGGAGGGGAGGGGAGGGAGGGGAGGGGGGGAGGGAGGGAGGGGAGGGTAGGAGGGAGGAGTGGAATGGAATGGAATGGAATGGCTCCTTAGCGGTGCGAATGAAAAACAAGCAAGCCTCTGACTGGTGAACACGCACGGCACACGCGCACGCACACGCACACACAAGAGCCAAGACAAAATGACAGAACTCTTATGCAACAGTGTGTTCACATTATTTCATGTCACTCCACGAAGTAAGCAAAAGAACTGAATAATCGTGATGCATCAACAAAGTGTTCACCACGCCGGGGGACCCAATCGAATCTATCCGTGGCCACCACCCGAACCAAATCTCGTCGACGATGGCATTTTGCCGACGGCTTTCCATCTCCCAGCACGCCCGCCAACAGTACCACTTCCAGGGAGGAGGAGGAGGAGGAGGAGGAGGAGGAGGAGGAGGAGGAGGAGGAGGGGGGGTTGTTTATTAAATAATGGATGGAGGAGGAGGAGGAGGAGGAGGAGGAGGAGGAGGAGGAGGAACCAGGAGGGGGAGCGCAGTCCTGGGGGGGCGAAGGGGAGGGAAGGGCGGGGGCACGGCGGGGACGAGGGCCCTCGCGAGGCAGCACCGCCCGCCGCGGCTGGGCCCCCCAGGCCGCCTCGCGCGAGAACGTCTGGACCGCGGGGGAGCACATCTCAGCGGCGGCGCGGGCGGCCTGCGAGCCGAGGGGAGCTCCCGCTCCTCCTCCCTGCCAACTCCTCCCCCTCCTCCCCCTCCTCCCTCCTCCTCCCTCTCCTCACCCTCCTCCCCCAGATCCCCGTCCCCGTTTCCGTTCCCCGTCCCCCCCTTCCTCCTCCTCCTCCTCCTCCTCCTCCTCCTCCTCCTCCTCCTCCTCCTCCTCCTCCTCCTCCTCCTCCTCCTCCTCCTCCTCCTCCATATGTATAGTAAACAGCCCCCAAGTCGCCCTTGAGATCGGCAACAACTTCGCACTACGCAGCCCCACTGCGACGGTGAGGTCCCGCTCTGATTGCGTAAGGCGTCACTCGGCTGGGCCCCCAACAGTCCTCAAACATTGCGACATGTTCCCATATAGCAGCCCCCCAGGGGTGGCGAGTTGGGAGGTAGACTCGTAATTAGGCAGGTGAGGGGCAGGAGGGAAGAGAGAGGAGGGAGGCAAGCTGTGTGGGCGTGCTCCCGCCTCATCTGTCATCCAGTCCCTCCCTCCCATCCGTTCTCATGGCGCAGATTTTGTCATTCTCTATCCACAAGCGCGCGTCATAGCCGACATGCGACTCCCACAAAACAACCATTTCCCGTTATGCGCAATCGGAAAAAAAGGGAGCTGCGTGCACAAGAGGAGTTGGTGGGTGAGCAGGAGGATGAGCGGAAGGAAAAGGATAAGGACGAACAGTAGCAGCAGATATGAAAGCGGGCGGATCGTGAGGAGAAGGAGGACCAGGGGAAGGCGGAGGAGGGGATCTGAGGGGGGCGACAACGATGAAGAGAGACTCGGATTCAGAAGAGAGGCCCGCGATGGGGCGAGACGAACAGCAGCAAAAGGAACTGAAGTGGAAGGAGCAGGAGAATCAGGGGGACCAGGGGAAGGCGGAGGAGGGGAAACAAGGGGGGTCCACAATGAAACAAAACTCGGATCCAGAAAAGTCACCCGCGCTGGGGCGATAGCGCCATTCTGAACGAAGGGAGGAAACCGCCGATCCGAAAATTTCGAAACACCGAAAATAATCGGATTGCCAAAGACACAAAAGAAAAACGATGCTTAGAACCCTGCGTCAATCAGAAACAACACGCAGAGGGGGCGGGAGAACGTCCGGACAACTTCAGGGGCGGAGGGAGAGTAGCATTCATGTTGTTAAACTGTCGAGGGAGGCGGGAAGGGGAAACGACCACAGTGTCCAACTCAAACGACAAGCGAACACAAAAGGGTTGATAACAAACATGTGGGGAACAATCAAGATAATAAAACCCAGAAGGACAACACAAAACGTACGCGGAGAGAGCGGGACCACTTGCGCAAAAAGTCGGGGCACAGAGGGGGAGTCGTGCCCATATGGGGTAACTGCAGAGAATAAGGGGGCGGAGGGAAAAGGACGCGGAGTCTCCGCCCCGAAGCCGATTAACAACAACAACAACAACAGCAACAACAACAACAACAATTACTAGCACGTGGGGACACTCCGTTCTCACCAGTGCCAGCCAGGGTTTTCATAGGAGGCGGGCAATACCCCCACTTTGTGGGGGGGCCGGTTCAAGCTCTACCAAATTTCCAAACGACTCTTCGCCACCACCCACACCCAGCTTCCCGCCCTATGACGTTCGGACACTTCACTTCGTGGCATGCGGACGACCGTGGCTACTATTCAGGGCCCCGCGGCCGACGACGACGGCGTGCGCGCGCGAAGAAAAAACGAATGTGTCCCGCATGGTATTATTTGACAGGGATGATGGCCCTGGCAGGTGCGCAACCGTTGTTGCAGAAGTTTGAAAAAGTTGCTCGCAAAAGCCCGTTTGACAGAAATGTTGAAAAAGTGTTGGGTTTCCTACGAATCCGCAAGAGCGCGCGGGATGAACTTTTGGCAATTTGTTTTTGAAAAATCATTGTTTTTTTATGTTTTTATGTTAAAATCGCTACGAAAACAAAGGTTTTGGAAGGATTTCGTCTTGCGCGCGCGAATATCCACTTTACCTTATTTTTTGCAAGGGATTATTGAAATTTGGTTATGTTAGAACAAGAAATGTCCACTTTAGCTTATTTTTTGCAAGGGAAAACCGCCCGTAACAAAACAACCGGATCCGGACCAACCCGTTTTGCCTGAGACTTCCTCACGGAAATGATGAAAACGTGGCTGCGGCCTAGGCGCGGCGGGGGGGTCGTGCACCAGGGGTCCCAACAATAATTATTTTTTAAAAGTAATAATGTTCAACAACAACAACAACAACAAAAAAAAAAAAACAACAACAACAACAACAACCAACAAGTACGGTAGATGCGGCGGTCAGGAACTTCTGGACAGCGTGACCGAAGGGTCCCAGGGACACACAGATAAGACGACACAACTCCCAGGATTCCCGATGGTTTCCAATATCTTCTGGACTTTCGACTTCCCCCCCACTTCCCATGTTTTCCGACATCTTCCTGGAGGTCGACGATGAACTGTGTCTGTCTTTTTCCCCTCCTGAGTGGCGCTGCGGCGGCCTCGGCGACACGCTACAAACGGATAGCGTGTCGCTCCGCTCCGCGGGGCGGGAGGCTCGGAAAAGCTCGGGACGTTGACGCTTGGAAATGTAGACGCGGATAGCGTGTCGCGCCGAAGCGTGGTGGGCCAGAGCCTGCGGAACGACGCGCTATCCAAAAGTTCTCGACTGCAATACGATGGGGGGCATTGGATCAGGAACCCGTACATAAGAGGTCCAGGGACTAGAAGCCAGTGGAACGCCAACTGAGGCTTGGGCATGCGTAAATGTAATCGCCGCCCTCCGCAGTTAAGGAATCCATCAAATGTGGCAAAGGCGACGCGCCAAAATACGTTGGAAACGACGATTCTAGTTTGACATTATTCGTCTGGCGGAGGCGCTGATCGTGTTACACCCGGGAGCGGAAACGAACTATCGGAACTGTCTACTGTGGCGGGGGGGTGGTCCGATGTTTGCTTGCAAACCGAATCTGAAACGCCGCACCTTTCAATTCGGCAAGAACGTCGGCCAAAGTGCCCCACGGAAAAAAAAGAAGCAACATTCCAGAGCAAGGGTGTGTGTATAGGGGATAAGGAGCGCTCCCAAGCCCAGGACGAGGTTCCCTATATTGCTGGTGGGGCGATCTGCTCGCAGAGCATGGCCAACTGATACTGCTCTTCACGGGCCACTGTCGCCACTGTGATGTCGCATGACGTGCAGGGGATCCCCTTCCTGCGACACACATTCCCCCCAAAAGTGGCACCACGGGCGCAGCGTGAGGTGCCCCCAGGGCGCGCGAGCGCTCTCGAGCGCAGGCGGAGGCGGGGGGCGAAGCAGAGAGGAGGCGGAGAGAGATAGATCTGCACAGGGCGAGGGACGGTGGCCAAGGGGGGAGGAGGGGGCGTCGGCAGATGCACACCCCGGCCGGTGAGGCCGCGTATGCGCTCCCCCCCGGCCCCCGGTCTGACGGGAGCGGAATGCAGGGACTGGCTCTGCAGGGGGGACCTCATTGAATCCTACACGTCAGAATGCATATGCATGAGTGTGTGTGTGTGTGACCCGGAGCCGACGAGACACCGCCGGCAGGTCGGCGCTCGATCTATAGGCACCCGACGGGCAGGCTGGAGCACCCGGGCCCCGATCGGCGATGCATCTGGGCGAGTGGGGCGTCGCTGCTGCGTCCCCAGGCTGAGCCACCTCTGCTCGCTGGGCACCTGGCACCCAGGCGTCGCAGTCCTGCCACGCCGGGCCTCCCCGCCCAGCTGCGGGGCCCAAGGGCCCTCACAGCTCGATGCTGTGCGTGGGAGGCGCAGCAGGCACGTGGCCGCTCCTCCGTGTATCGAACGCCAGGCCGAGAGCGGCCTGAGGCTGGGCACCCGTCTGGGGCTCTGGTCGTGACTTCGCACGCTGCTGCAGCTCTTCGCGACGTCATCTCTCAGGGGAGCACGTGGGATCCCCTGCGACCATAGCCGCCCACGGCGACACCACAGCCGAGACCGAGGGACCGAGACCGGCCGAAACCGACCGGCCGAAGGCAGCCCGAAAGGAACGCAGCGGCGCGGCAACTGCCCGACCGAGCCGAGCCGGCCGAATGCGACCGACCGCGACATCACCGAATCGACCGCACCACGGACACCCTGGGCAAACGACCCCTTCCCCGATGAGAACCTCCTCGTGCTCCTATGTCCGTCTTCCTACGGTCGGAACTTTTGCTCGGCGCGCCGCGGCGGCGGCCCTCAGCGGCACGCCGTGCCCTGCAAGCGGATGGCGTGTCGTGCCGCTCCGCGGGGCGGGGGGGGCTCGGCAAGGCCGGGGGCGTGAGCGCCTGGGAAGGGTGGAAGTGGATGGCGTGTCGGGTCCAAGAGCGGTGGGCCAGGACCGGCAGCGCGGACAGACGGTCATGGCCTTTCTGCTCCCCTTCCACTTCCTCCTCCTCCTCCTCCTCCTCCTCCTCCTCCTCCTCCTCCTCCCCCTTCATTCCTTCTCCCATTCCTTCTCCTTATAGATAACTCCTCCCTGTCGCACCCCGAGGCCAGTGTTTAGGGCGGGTCGGGCGTCTCGCCTGACACTTCCTCACCACTTATGACTCTGACGCTGAAAAAGTGACAACAGTTTCACGGATTTAGGGCGGGCCGTTTTCAAAATGTGGCTCTCGCCTGCGCGCCGCGCACATCCCTTGAACAAATTGCAAGGGCTTCGCGGATTGAGGGCGGGTCGTTTTCAAAATGTGGCTCTCGCCTTAGCGCCGCACACATTATTTGACACATTCTTTGAAAACAGTTGCAAGAGCTTCACGGATTGGGGGCGGGTGGTTTTCAAAATGTGGCTCTCGCCTTGGCGCCGCGCACATTCTTTGTAAAAATGTGCACGAGTTTCACGGGTTGAGGGCGGGTGGTTTTCAAAATGTGGCTCTCGCCTCAGCGCCGCGCACATTCTTTGTAAAAATGTGCACGAGTTTCACGGGTTGAGGGCGGGTGGTTTTCAAAATGTGGCTCTCGCCTTAGCACCGCACGCATTCGTGTTAAACAGTTGCAAGAATTTTACCAATTCCCATGATCGCATACCACAGATGCTTTGGAAGGATTCAGGATTTCGCGGGTGCAATAATGAAGTTAATTTGCGGTGTTGAAATCCAAGACATGGCGTATGGCACGATTCGGGATCGCCAAAGCGCAGCAGTCAGGTTGGTGCGCGGCGTTGAAATCCCGAGAACACTGTTTTGGCATGTTCCAGGATCTTCAAATAGTTGTGTTCCAACGAAGCAGTTCCCTCAATGGAAGTGAACCATTGTAGGGGCCTATGAAGCGGGAGCTTGGAGGGAGGATTAATTCCAACATCGTTGATGACTCTTGGGTTTACACTGGTCATCCTCCTCCTCCTTATCTTGCTCCTCCTCCTCCTCATCATCATCATCCTCATCATCCTCATCATCCTCATCCTCATCCTCATCCTCATCCTCATCATCATCATCATCATCATCATCATCATCACCATCATCATCATCATCATCATCATCATCATCCTCATCATCATCATCATCATCATCATCAGCATCATCATCATCATCATCATCATCATCATCATCCTCATCTTCCTCATCTCCCTCATCCGCCCATCCTCCTCCCTCCTCCCTCCTCCCTCCTCCCCTTCCCCCTGTCGCGCCGACCACGGCAGCAGTGGTGGGCCAGGACCTTCTGTCCGTCTGTCCGTCGTCCTAATGATTGCCCTTTCCCCGTCGCCACCACCACATGTCGGAACGGGCGGGTCGGGCGTTGCTGAGACCTACCCACGAGTCATGGCCCCAATAACCCCCAAAACGGTTGCACATAGGGTGGCCATGCAGAACGGGTGATTCCCTGGTCTGCCTCCTCCTCATCCTCCTTCTTATCCTCCTCCTCCTCCTCCTCCTCCTACTCTTGATCCTGGTCCGCCCTCCTTCGAAACCCAGAGAAACCGCAGAAAAACAGCACAACTGAATTAAGCAACCTATCTCTCTCTCTATATATATATACATGTACATCCTCTCTATCTCTCTCTCTCTCTCTCTCTCTACATCGGCGGCTATAGCGAGCCCTGTTTGTGTTGTACCCTTGGTGCTGGTATTGCTGCTCCTCCTAAGAGTGAAGCTTCATCTTGATATCATTCCACCTCCTCTCCCTTCTCCTTGCTCCTCCTTCTCTCTCCTAACTTTCCTCAGACCTCCTCCCCCTCCACCACCACCCCTACCCCTCCCCCTCTTCCTCTTTCTCATCCTCCTCCTGCTCCTCGTGCTCCTCCTCCTCCTCCTCCTATGAAATTCTCTCTGGCTCCAGCTGTAGCGGTACCGACCTGCCTGTGGAACACGAGGCTGAGGATTGAGGAGCGAATGAGGAGGAGGATGAGGATAGGAGGAGGGAGGATTGTGAGGGGACGAGGGAGTTAATTAAGAGGAAGAGGGAGAAACAAGAAAGGACGAACGGAGGAAGGGCGAAGGGAGGAAGGACGACGGAGGATAGATGTGCGGGACTCCGCTGCAAGTTTGGTTGCGCCAAGACAGGCGGCCGGCAGGAGGAAGCAGCTCTGCCTCAGGCACTGGCCAGTGAATTAAGGGGTGCTCCACGAGCGGGCTGGTCAGACGCCGCCTGACAGGCTCGTGAAGCGGAAGATGGGATGGCCAACCTGGGAGGAGGAGGAGGAGTAGCAGCAGGAGGACGACGAGGAAGAGGACTGGAGGAGGAAGAGCACTAGGAGGAGGAGGAGGAGGTGGAGGAGGAGGAGGAGGAGGAGGCGGAGGAGGAGGGAGGAGGCGGAGACTGCGGATCGGCTCGCCGCCCCCCGCCTGTCACGCCAGCAGAGCTGAGGGGGGAGGGCAGAGGCTCGCCGGCTGCGAGGGCTCGTGAGTGGTGCGGACGAGGAAAACGACGATGACGATGACGATGTTATCGCTTTCTTATTCATCGTTTTGCCGATCGGCGCGGGCCCTCGCACCCCCCCTCCCCCCCTGATGGAGTAGATCTTGGCTGTTTTTGCAGGTGGAGTCTCCCCGATAGAGCGCACTGTTGCAAACAGTCGCACTCCGCAGAGGTCCAGAGCAAGACCCTCCCCCCCCCCTCCCTCCCCCTTCCGCCCAGTGTCGAAACGCCGAATCAGAAACTGTTCACCATGCGGTCGGGAGCGTTTCCTTGGCGTGTCGCGGCGGCGGCCCCGGCCACACGCTGTGCCCTGCGAGCGGATGCCGCGCCGTTCCGCTCCGCGTGGCGGGGGGCTCGGGAAACGTCGGGGCGTGGACGCTGGGGAGCCGGGACGTGGCCAGCGTGCTGCGCCGAAGCCTGCTGGGCGAGAGAACCTGCGGAGCGACACGCTGGGCCCAAGCTCGAGAGCGTAGTCTAAATGATCTGAGCTGCCCCAGGTCCCGCCCCTCTCGCCTCAGCTCACGTCTCGAGGAGCGGCAGGTGCACGGCTACTCACCTTTTCCGTATCCTCGAATGTCCTCCTCGCCAGTGCCGCCACACAACCACGTGACGAAGAAGTAATTTGTTATTCCTGTCATCGTCAGCGTTCCAAGCCAAGCTTGCGACGAGTCCAGACCAACATACTGCACGAGACCCATATTTATTGGCACGGACGCCAGCAGCGCAGTCGTGTACCCCGTGTAGCACGCAAATAAACCTTTCCAGTACGAGTCTGAAGGACCATACACCAGGGTGCTGTTTAGAACAAACTGGAACCATATCGAAACGAAGTAAGATAACATCCATGCCACAGTGACCAGGGGAATCGCCCTGAACTCCCACTTGATTATGTTAGTGAGACCATGCACGGCACCCTCGTTTAATAGCCAGAAAACAGCCGTCCCTATGAATGCAGATACCTGAAATCGCAAGACCTGCGGCACCCCACTCCGAAACTTTTTGACCGGGTTCATCCGGCGGCGGTGCAGGATCGGCAGAGGCGCTCGCAGGTCGAAGTCCGACGACCTCTTGGCGCCGGCGTGGCAGGCGTCTGCCCGTCTCCCGACCCATCCCCTGGCCCCAGGGGGCCTAAATCCCCGACGTCAGGATCATTACGTCGACCCCGAAAGGTCTCGACCTATTCCCCGGGACGAGTTTTTCACCCCGACTCCTTTTTTGACGGTCCCGAGGCCCAGTAAGGGTCCCCAGAGGCCGAAAATGGCGAAAAACCTCCCATCATGATTTTTCGTTACTCGAAGGGGTCTTGGGGTGCCGATTTTCGCGAGTGGAGGGGGAGCGCAGCGGGCCCAGGCATCCGGCGCTCGGATCGGCTCGACACATTGCCCCCTGGACCTCTCGACCCCGGGGGGGCCCGCTGGCCATCCCGAGCCTGTGCTCCACGGCCCCTCGAGGCCCTACGGTCGGGAGCTTCTGCTGAGCGTGCCGCCGCGGCAGCCCTGGCGACACGCTCTTCCCTGCGAGCGGCCATAGCGCGGTGCTCCGCTCCGCGGGGCGGGAAGCTCGGAAAAGCTCGGGTTGTTGACGCTCTGGGGGGCCGGAAGAATGGGTGGCGTGTCGCACACCGAAGCGTGGTTGGGGGAACCAAGAGGTGCCGATGTACAGCTGCTCCCCGGACCTCTCCCGGGGTGCGTTCTGACCAGAATTTCGAGGCGAATCCAGCGGTGACGACGAAGGCCTCCCAGGAGGCCCAAAAAGGGAAAACTGGGAGAGGGTAGCCGTATGGGCACCTTTCCTCCATGGAGTGGTGGGGCAGAACCAACAGAGCCACACGCTAAGAGAAGAATCCTGACCGCAAACCGGCCCCAAGGCCAAGAACGGTGACGAACCCGGCGCCTCATGTGACTACCTACCAGACCACCCCAACCCAACCCGAAGACCCGAATTTGACCCGAATTTCGGGTTGGGGGGGGTACGGATACCATGTGTTTTTTCAACGTTCCCCGACCCCCCCCCACTGGAAATCGAGGATAAATTTGGGCCTTCGGGTTGGGTTGGGGTGGTTTGGTGGGTGGTGATCATGGGGATACCAAAAAAGGTACCGATACATCGCTACTCCCCGGCTCTCTCCTGGGGTGCGCTCCGACCAGGATTTCGAGGCGAGTCCAGCGGTGGCGACGAGGGCCTCCCAAGAGGCCGAAACAGACGAAAACGGGCGAAGGGTAGCAGTACGGGTACCTTTGCCTTCTTTGAGTTGTCCGAGGCGCTCAAGGCCTTGGCCCGCGCGCGCGCGCGCGCGAGGTCGGCCCGGGACCCAGACCCCCAACGCCATGATTCTGTTCATGACGTCGACCCCCAGAAGTCTCGAGCTGTTCCCTGGGACCGGCTCTTCATCCCGAGTCGTCCCTTGACGGTCCCCAGGCCCGGCGAGGGCCCCGGCTTCTCGTCCTGAGTCGCTTCTTGACGGCCTCGAGGCCCGGTAAGGGCCCCCATAGAGGCCGAGAGCAGCGAAGCACCCTCCGTCGCGACTTTTCCGGGGGGCCCGGGGAGCGCGCCTCGCGGAGGCGCGCGGGCCCCGCGGCGGCGCACGGGGGGCGTCGGAGGTCCCAGGAGAGCCCCCGGGACCCCGGTCTGCGCTGCCTTTGGTGCTTCGCGGTCGGCGCTGCCCTGTGTGCTGGCGGCGCACACAGGGGGGCAGAGTGAAGTCGGGCACGACCCTCTCCAGGAGGAATGTTCAACAAGGGCTTGTTTTTTGTTGTCTCTTTCTTTTTTATATATCAAAACGACCGGGGACAATTTTCGACTGTGTTTGACAATGTTTGAATCTGTTTTGACCATCTTTTCCTTGTCGCCAGAATCCGGGTAGAGCGGAGGCCAGTCCACAAGAAACCTTCCACAAGAAACCCAACCCTGAGACCCTAGGACGTCCATTGATTTTTGTTGGTGTGGTAACGCCACGCTGGAGGCAAGCAGGGCGTTTCTTGGCCTGGGTCTCCACTGTGGGGGGAGGGGGGAGGGTTTCTTAGAAGGAAGATGCTTCTTCGAAGGCGGCGGCCTTGCACCTGCTAATTAAGAAGCGGGGGTGCTTCTAAGAAGCCTTCCCGGAACCCCCTCCCCGGACCCCCTTCTGCGCGCAGCCAATTGCGTTTGGCGCTGCCCCTGCCTGAGCTCCCTGATGGCGCGACTGTATCACTCGAGGCGTGTCGACCAAACTGGTCTCAGGAGGAGAGTGGCCCGAGAGTTTCGGAGGATGCCCAAGAGGGGCCCGAAGAGAGCCCCAAGATCACCCGAGAGGGACCCTGGAGGAGCCAAGGACAGACCAAGAGGCTCCCAAAACGGCTCAAGAGGGTTTGAGGAGGCCACGGCAGCAACAGCTAGCCTTCAGAGGGCCCCCCAAACTCCCCGAGCTGGACCGAGAGGACCCAACATAGTCCCGGAAGAGCTCAAGAAGGCACCATGTCGCTGCAAGAAACAGTGTGCGACTTTCCTCTCGCCCTCCCCGGCTCTATCTTCCTCTCTGTAATGTTTCGCCTCCTTGGTGTTCCTCCTCCTCCTACTCCTCCTCTGATTCCTCTTGCGCCTCCTCCTCGTCCTCCCCGAATCTTCTCTCATCGACCATCACGTAGAGACACGCACAGTCTCAAACTTATCAATGGGTCGGCGGATGTGGCGTCAACATGATGAACTTCCTGCCTGAGGACAGTCAGTGTGTCTCCTATATGGATGTCCTGCAGCTGCCACAGCAAGTCTTCCTGACGTTTTGTACCGATGCCTGCTACACGTACTTAGCGCATGCATCGCACCCGAGCCGAAACGGCTACATATGCGAATTGTGACGACGATGAGGCTGCTATACGACGGACAGCATGATAACGATTGACGATTATTGTGGTGATGGTGATGTGCGCTCCCCGCACCCACAGGCTCCCGAGAATCCCTTCATACCAGAACCCTTTGACAAAGTACCTTTTACACTTGCTGAAACCCTGCTTTTTTTCCTACCCTCCACCCTCTCCTGCGGACCCCCTATTTACACCCCCATGGTTCCCCTAAAGCCTTCTAGAACGGCCAAGAGAACATATTCAAAACTGCTGGTGGAATTCCCTACGACCGTGACCACCTCCCACTTCTCCTCCTTCTCCTCCTCACTCTTCTCCCCTCTCCCTCTGGCGGATCATGTTTCCATCCGAGGGGCCTGGGGCAAAGGTTCTTCCCGAGTCGTCTTCTAGCGTTCCCAAGAGCCACCCCATTGCTACTTAATTTGCGATAACGTCCGCTACTGGGCCCTCACCCCCTCCGCCCCCGCTGGGAACGTCACGATTCTCGCCGGCGCCGTCTACGAATTCAACTCGCCATTCCTAAGCGTTCCCAAACGACGCCGGCACGAACGGTGTCTGTTCCGTGGGAGCCTACGTGGTCCCCAGCGCTGTCCGAACTGGGCCTTCGCCCCTTCACTAGGGCGACGAGAAGAACGAGGAGGGGGAGGAGGAACAGGAGGGGCGGGGAGGAGCAGAAGGAAGGGCCAACTGCGGTCCAAATGCCGTGGGAAAAATTATTCAAATGCTGCCGCCCAAGGCTCCCATGAGCAGACATCGACGTTACTAGCCCCTCCCACCTCCCCCCATGGTCACGCCCGTCAGGTTCGGACCTGGGACTTGAGAACATCCTCCAAGAAGGTGAGGAGGCGCTCCGCTGGCGAAAACACCCGAACCATCAGATCACTCGAGGTACCCTCCACCAGGATGTACAAGCACATCCAGCAAGCACGAAGAACAGGAGGGTACCCTCCCCGAAGCAACCTTGACCTCATTTGAGCAGGGACCGACCGTCCCGGCATTCCTATAGTCCTACCACCGAATGTTCTTAGAACCCAACAATGTTCTCAGAACAAAAACAGTGTTCTTCGAACATAAACCCGATGTGATAAAACAAGACAGTCTCAACCAGACATGTTCTAAGAACATCTCGCGGGAACCACAAAAGGCTCTCAGAACATTGTCCGGCAGGACGATCAGCACGCAGAGACGCTTCGCCCCTGCGTGAGACTCACACCCCGACCCCACCGCACCGCAAGCACTGCCCGGACCCGGGCCCGAGCCCGGGCCTCCAGAGAGAGAGGCCAGGGGAGGCGCGGCCGGCACAGCGCCGTCGGTGCGCGGGAAGTGCGGGCCGCCTCCCCGGGAGCCCCCTCGGCAGGGCTCGGAAAAAAAATAGTGAGCACTCCTGCCACATGCATCTGTGAACGCCTCCCCCTCCCCCCCAGTGTTCAAAGTTGGCGGTGGGTCTGAGGAGTTGCACCTCGACCGCAATCTCCCCCGCGCGTGCCAACCTGGAGTTTGGGGGGCAGGGGGGGTGTTCACTAATTGTTTCCCTCTACCCGAATAATGAAAACATCATGACGGGAAGTTGTTCGCCAATTTCGGCGTCTGAGAGCCCTTCCCAAGCCTCGGGGCCGTCAACAAAACGGCTCGGGATGTGAGAAACCCATCCCGGGGAAGGGGTCGAGGCCTCTGGGGGGTCGACGCCATGAAAGAATCGTGGCGTCGGGGGTCTGGGTCCCTCCCTCGAAGGAGACCAGCCACCGAGCCTGTCAAGGGGTGCGCTCTGGCCAGAGCTCCGCGGGAAAGCCGTTCGCGGCGACGAGCTGGAGGCCCGACGCATCCGGAAGAACTGCGGTCCGGGGTAACTCCGGCCTGGGCCCCCGAGGCACGAACCCGTAGCTAACCCTGACTGCCCCCAGCCCCAATGTTTCGGAAGGGTTGGACGCCCGGGTCATCCAGGACAAGTGTGGCAACTCCAGTCTGGGCCCCCCGCAAGTCCTAAGATGCGACGTCGCGGAAAGAAGAGCATCGTGGACACAAACACGACCAGAGCCGTACATCCTAGTTTTCTGCGACGAGAACGCCCAGTGTGAACGAAAAATCCGACGCACGCAGGAAAAGGCCGAAAAGGTTCAGAACCATCGATCCTTGTTTCGGCACACAACAAGCGGGTACGAACAAATTGGCACGATGCA